ACGTTAATTTTTCACCTCCCTATTGAGTCCCGAAAGTAACGGTCCCCCTGAAAGTAGCGGCCCACCCGAAAGTAGCGGCCCTATGAAGAAGTCACTAAAAGAGAAAGTCTTTGTTCTCAAGCGCGGGTCATGCGGATGGAACAGCCTGACTGCAGGACCGAACATTGACTTTCAGAGTTATCTGTGGTTTTATTTCGAACTTGACTGAATTTTTCTTGAAACTATGATTTATAAGCTGTATTTGTCTGGGAACAGAGTCAAATGATAAACTGTAGGGTGATCAGTTGTATTGTGATATAATGCGACCATTATACTTTCGCCCTTCAGTGCCAACCGTGGTTTAAGGCCTTTTTATGTTTATACAGTCTGCTTTGTTTATGTGGGTAGTTGAAAACATACATAAATGGAACGTTTAATTTCTTGTCATAGTAAATGGTTTGAACCCAGGAATATCAGTGGTTCGTATAGTGTGATCGTCTGTCCGTGTAACGTTTGTCATCAGTCATTGGTCGATCCGTCTTTGTAAGTCAAATTGGTCGGTTGTTGGTCTGTCTAGTCAACTTAAGTCGGTCTGTTAGAAGTCCGTTTGTCGGTTTCGTTTCCGTCGTGAATAAGTCGTTTGTAAGGCGCCGGTAGTTGCACGGAGCCCTGTTACCGCCATACACGCCCGCGTACAACATCATATTTGGGATGCATCCTTTTTTCATTCTGGTAAACACTTTCTTTTTTTTTGCTGGCGCAACTTTTTTTTTCTGGCGCGACTTTTTTTTTCTGGCGCGACTTTTTTTTTTCTGGCGCGACTTTTTTTTCGTTGGCGCGACTTTTTTTTTCTGGCGCGACTATTTTCTTTTCTGGCGAGACTTTTTCTTACTGGCGCGACTTTTTCTTTTTTCTGGCGCGACCTTTTTCCTGGCGCGACTTTTTTTTTCTGGCGCGACTTTTTCTTACTGGCGCGACTTTTTCTTTTTTCTGGCGCGACTTTTTTTTTCGCTGGCGCGACTTTTTTCCTGGCGCGACTTTTTTTTTCTGGGGAGACTTTTTCTTACTGGCGAGACTTTTTTTCTCGGTAAGTACCTCATGTAGCCCTTATTATAGTGTATTTAGAACTTCTTGTTACTTCTCTCATATTCCCTCTGATGAATAAACCCCACAAACTCTGTAGTTATTCCCCAGAGCCTTGTACCGAGGTCTTTTGTTTTAGACAGAATTTTAAAATATGGAAATTGGTCTATTAAATCTAGATCGTTGTCAGTCGAGTCAGCCATCTTGCTCAACCAGACGCTCAACCACACGTGTTCGTACTTTGAGCCCGCAATAAATCTAGCAGCGGTCTACAAATGAGCGCCAGAGCAAAAAGTCGGGCAGCAAAAAAAGTCGCGCCAGCGAAAAAAAAGTCGCGCTAGAAAAAAACAGTCCCGCCAGAAAAAAAGGGTCACGCCAAAGGTAACAAAGTGTTCGCCAGAATGAAAAAAGGATGCATCCCAAATATGATGCTGTACGCGCGCGTGTATGGCACTAACAGGGCTCCGTATTGTTGACATGTGTTAAGAGGCGTTTGTTCTAGGTTAGTGTACCAGCTTTCCAGAGTCTGTTGTTAAAAATAGTTTGTACTGTAGGTTAAGCACTGAGCAGAGTCCCAGTCAATGAGTCTTTCAGCCAATACTATCGTGGCTAAACTGACCAATCACGTTCAACGGACCAGACTTATAACATCATCGACTGGCAAACACTATTCACTTGACTCTGAAGATGACTTCTGCTCAGGTTGTCAAAACTTTAGTCACTAACAACAGTTCTTTTCAGAACTATCCTCACCCGGACGATCACACTATACGAACTATTAATAGACCTCTTTAGCTTGGGCGGTTTGTTTTCCCATTGTAGACCGCGTGATATTCTCTAGAGAATTGTTCTTTTATCCATCTTAAAATTATTCATTCATATACATGCGACTATGAAAGATTTGAAAGCAAGAATTCCCAAGAGGATCATCCCGCGGCCTGCAATGGGAAAACAAACCGTCCAAGCTAAAGAGGTCTATTTCTTGTGTTACGCGTCCGCTTTGTCTGAAATGACTGTCACTGTACAAACGTTTTTTAGCCATCCGACAGTAACGGCTACCCGAAAGTAGCGGCCCCTTTTGCCTGCTAAATCCGAAAGTAACGGGGGCCGTTACTTTTGGAATTCTACGTTAAAATCATTTTGAGACATTCTCGAGGAAATTTCCATATGCGCCGGAAACGAGGTGTAAAACATAATTAAAGAAATTTTTGAAATTAGCTTCACGAATCATCGCCACTTGAATATTAACCTTTCAAGTCTTTAGCCAGGTTTCTCCCGCTGGCAAGAGGCTTCGCTCGAACAGTTTTTCCTCTTATCTAAACTAGACTCTCTCTTGGAATTTGAACTTTCCACGTCCTTATTCTTTAATACTTAGAAACTATATGTTCGTTTTCTGTCCATCTTTACAGCTTTGGAAAAAGGCGTCGAAAAGGCTGGACAGTAACTTTACTTCCAGGGCCTCCTCCAAGGCGATTTTCAATATGGCGATTCGTCGGGAGAATAGTCTTTTAAGAAAAGTTCAGGAGACCCTTTTTTTTTCTGAGGACTTTATGCACCCACTCGTGGTCATGGGCGGGGGTCCTTTCCGATTGTACGTCAAGATGTGTGGCATTAGGCTCCGTCCACACCGCTACGACGGAGCAATTTAAAAACGCAGCTTCATCTCTATGATTAGACCTTCTGTCAGCCTTCTGTCCACACTAATCCGTCACGAAAACGGAGATTTTTGAAAAGCGGAGAACTTTGAAAACGCCGGCTTTGAGTTTTTAATAATGTAGANTTTGCCTGCTAAATCCGAAAGTAACGGGGGCCGTTACTTTTGGAATTCTACGTTAAAATCATTTTGAGACTTGAACTTTCCACGCCCACGTCCTTATTCTTTAATTCATAGAAATTATAACTTCGTTTTCTGTCAGAGAAAGGCGTCAAAAGAGAGCTTAAGCAACGACGAGGGCGACGCCGAGGACGACGCCCAGTCAAAAATGAATTTATATTTTACCAGCGAAATTCGCAATTGTCTAGATCTGTTCAGTACGCCAATGGATCTAAAAACGTGCTCAGGAAAAATATGCAGTGACAGAATAGAAATACGAAGAATTAACCGTCGTCGTTCGCTCTCCTCAGACTACGCAGAACTTGGTCATTTCACGTCGCGTTGTTGTTTTGCAGAGGACGGCAAAGAAATGTAAAAGATTTATAACGCACGTGCACAGCTATTGTTTTACTCATTTAACCTTTTCAGTGGAGGATCTAGGGGAGGGACCCGACCCCCCTTATTTTGGGTAAAAAGAAATCGCAGGAGGAAGAAAAGCCGGCAGGGCAAGCAAAAAAAACGGCCTCCCCCCACCGTTAGCTCAAGGTCTGGATCCACCACTGCTTTTGTTTGGTGGCGCTCTCGTTGCCGTCGTCTTCGTGTTCCCCTGTTTTGCACTGCACACCTCTACTGCGTATAACATTGCCACATGCAAGGTGGCGGCGGGTTTCGTCAGCGCTGGCCCTCAAATTGAGGATAAACAAGGTTGTTTTTCCAAAAAAAAAACACAAGGTTGAATCGATCTCAAGCAAAACGCATACAAAGTTTAATGAACAAACATTCCACCCGCGATCGGAGAGCGGCCATCTTTAAACTTGACCCAGTCCTCTCTCTGTCGTACAGATTTTCAAACGGGAGTTTCGAACTTTCAGGATCAATAGTTCGAAAACGAGCACGGTGACCCCACTTTTTAATGCATGAATTTAAATCACACAAAGTTGTCTACAATATATCTCGATTTGAAGAAAAGTTTAAACTTCTGCTCAAAAATTTTTTGATTTTATTGCTGTAAAGAACAAAATATAATGATGCAAGAGACCGCAAACG